TTTGGACTACCATATCGGAGACCTATCAGACTCTATCTATCGGTGTTGTCTACCTCCCCACCTCCTTCATCTCTCCTCCCACCTTTCATCTGTGAATGTGTGTACGGGATCTGGGCATCGTCTATGAATGGCCCAGACCCCACCATCTCACGATTGTATGTGTGTGGAGTGATGCTATGTGAGTCAGTCTATGTGAGTCAGTCCGTTTATCAGACTTCCGCTGCAAATATGCTCATCCTACATTGGTTGATCTTTGGTTCTGCCCATACTCACGGAAGTATGCAACAACGGCACACATGCAGCAACGCGTTCCTGCAAGCTTGTGTCCGTGTGTACTGCTTGTTTGTTTTCTGTATATGCGTGCGTGCGTGCGTGCGTGTGTGTGTGTGTGTGTGTGTGTGAGAGAGAGAGAGAGAGAGAGAGAGAGAGAGAGAGAGATGGTTAAGCTTGATGGGAAAAGAAGATCATATTACCGAACGGTGAGCGAAGGAGAGAGGGGGTAAAGGAAGCGAAGCGGAGTGGTGATAGTCCCATTTCTGGGCCGCTGGCCGATGGGTCAGGGGTACGTACGCATGAGCATGTGCACATCGATGGCAGGTATTTGTGCATACGTATGCATGCATGCACAAGTCAGTCCCTCACTCAAGTTCCCAGTTGTTGCAACGAGAGAGACAACCAAGTGTGCCATGCCCTTCGGGTCTGTTACTCCATCTTTTCGTTTTATTTTTTGTCCTCTTTCTAGAAAATCATCAAATTTATTATTCGGAAATATTACTGTTCTCTCCATCTTGTAGCCGGGACGCGGCGCCCACAATCCTTCCACTTCATCTTCATCACGTCCTCCTTGTTTCCCTCCAGCTTTCCATTGCATGTGATGGGAAGTCACGGCGATAACAGATAGGGAGCGGAAGCAACAGACGAGCAGTCTCTCTCTCACGCTGATGCATCGATGATCCCGGTCTGTTCGCTACGCTCTATCCCACCCGCCCCGCCTTGTTCAGGGGCTCGAGGAAGGAGCGCGGCCAACCAAGCTTAGGGGATCGCGGGAGGAGCGCTGGGGGTTAAGGGCGCTGACACTCTTCCGCAGCCGGCCTCGTCGGAGCCGTCGGGACAATCCCTTACCCCATCGCATCTACCTCCGAGTACGCACCATGTACCATAACATTTTACCCTGTCCGGCAGACACGTGTAACTCTTGCAGAAGCTCTCATCGCCCCCATCTGCACAATCTTCTTGGCCGTCGCAGTAGGAGCCTGGACTGACCGCCGTCCCAGTGCCATTTTTGCAACGAATGTGGAAAGTGGGCTCCATCATCCTTTCCTCCTCTTTGGACGCGCAGAAGGTTGCATTCTCATCGCTGCCATCAAGACAATCCTTTCTGCCATCGCAGGCCCTGTAGGGCGAGATGCACGATCTCGCTTGTCCAGGGCAACGGACCTGGGAGATGTCCGCACATGCCTCCTGCGACGCGCAGGAGTCAGGATCTTCATCGGATCCGTCCAGGCAATGCTGCTGACCGTCGCACCAGGACCAGTCCCAGATGCACTGTCGCCCATCCTTGCACTTCGGCATGCTGAAGGAGCAGTTATACGTCCTGCAGAAGTCGGGATCCTCATCCGAGCCATCGTGACACTCCGGGATGCCGTCGCACAAGTTCATCTGCCGCGAAGAGCATACCCCGCTTGGGCAGTGGCCGTAGAGGCACTCGAAGGAGTCGCACCCTACCTCGTCCGCCCCGTCTGGGCAGTCGCGCACACCGTCGCACATGCTGCCCTTGCGCATGCAAGTCTGGTTGTGGTCAAGCACCTGGGCACTTGACCCTCTCATAGGAATTGGGACATTCCGCCGTCGCACACCAGCTTCCCTCATCGTCGCCGTGGGGACAATCGGGATTGCCGTCGCACATGAGATTCCAGTCTAGGCATCGGCCGCTACGACACTGGAAAAGAGTAGTGCCTCCAGAGGATCGCGCACAGCCGCGCTGCTGACACAGCTTGTCGCTCTCGTCGCTCCCCCCCGCGCACTCTGAGACACCGTCGCACAGCTTAAATGCGCAGCCACCATTCTTCTCGCTGTCGGGACCCGGACACCGCACCCTAGTCGGGCCCGAGTCGAGATAATCGGGGAATGCGCAGTGCGACACATTCGCCACGCAGTCGTACGTCGCACAAAACCCGGGGTCCTCATCCGACCCGTCCGGGCAGTCCCTCACCCCGTCGCACAGGTAGTACTTGTATGCGTCTCGGTAAGGATGGCGCTGCGGCAGTTGGCGTCCGTGATGTTCATGCAGAAATTGGCTCCGCTTGGACAGTCGTATCTACCGGCAAAGGGGCAATCAAAGGAGGCGCACCGTGTCCCTTCATCTGAACCGTCGGGGCAATCCTCCACGCCATCGCACTCTCTTTCAGTCTTAATGCATTGCTCGATCCCACGGGACATTGAGTGAAGCCGATAAAGCAGAAGAACTTGTTCCCATACTTCACGCCATTGGCTAAAGGGGTGCCACGTGTCGCTACACAGAAGCTGCTAGCAATGATCACCAACAGGAGCGCCTTTATGGGGGTCACCTTCTTCCTCCTCCTCGTCCTCCTCCTCCTCCTCCTCGTCTTCTTCGTCCTCTCTCTGCTGCTTGCACTACCTTGTCCTTACCCTGCACAAGCGGCACATAGCAGGTCAGCATATGTCGCACCTCCTCCTCCCCCTCCTCCCCCTCCTCCCCCCCCTCCTCCTCCTACTCCGTTTTCCCCCTTGCACTGCTTTCACCTCTTCTCCGTCCGCGAGGCCGATATCCCACTTACTTGCCCGAATTCATCTGTTTCAATGATCGATTCCTGTGATCGATCTCTCTGTATTATTTGACCGAGGACCGAGGATCGAGTCCCACTTACCCGAATTCTCAATTCTTTACCGTAGATTAGAAAGATCAAGGGCCAGAAATGACGAATACGGCCAAGGGGGACTTGGCCCCGAGTCGTTCAAAATGTACCATTCACTTGAAAAGCAAGATGCATAACATCCACAAGAAATGATAATTGCAGTTTACAATAATAATAATGGAATCCAATCATTCCGCGGCTGAGAGAATCACTAATTAACTTACAATTTTTAATCCCGTTAACATTTGGTGATCCCGTTGACATCTGATTCCATAGATCATACATCAGACAAGTCTTAGAGTAAAAACCGGACTTGAGTCCAAACTCCACTGCAAGCAGCTGAGTAAAATACATTAGGGCAATTCTGAATTACCTTACTTTCTTCCCCCGAATACAACGTACGGTCATTTCAGCTGTACTTACACTGAAAGATACCCCGAATACAGCTATGATTACTGTACGTTGTATTCGGGGGAAAAAGGGTAGGCCGGTCAGGTCGAATGATGATATCTGAAGGCCGTCCGTCGCCCTTCGAAACAACAAAGAGTTACCTTTTTCATTTTTTCGTTTTTTTTTTTTCTCTTTTACATGTGTGTGTGTGTGTGTGTGTGTGTGTGTGTGTGTGTTTATGTTTGTTGAACGGAGTGAAGAGAGGGAGAATCTTTATAAAAAAAAAGAAAAAGAGAGAGAGAGAGAGGGATAATCTATCTTACCTGATGAAAGAGAAGGGTTTGGTTTTCCTCGACATCGATAGTATTCGAGTAGGACTTCGTAAGAAGAGTGTCTTATTCAATTCGTGTGAACTACCATGTTCCCCCGAATACAACGCACGGTCATTACAGCTGCATCTAGACTGAAAGATGCCTCAAATACTGCTATAATGACCGTACGTTGTATTCGGGGGAAGAAGGTGGCCAGGTCAAGCGAGTATGTACGTAGCCCGACTTCCGTTCCGTTAAGGGTTGTTCCGTTACGTTCCGTCAGCGAGGAAAGTCGGCTCAAGTGACGGTGACTGCATGTTTGATCATGCATGCTGATCATGCATGCTGTATTTGGGGCAACTTTCCGTCTCGGTTCGTCGATAAGGGCCGTAGTACTTTTTATTCGGGGAGAAAACTGGAGGGGCAATCTTGATGAAACATACGTCAGACAGGGGAGTCCTGGTTCGTGTATGTTGATATTGAGATACACACTTCAGCAGAAAACAGGAGGGGGAATCTAGAAAAACGTCAATCGTGCACACACATGCATTGACACAGCGCGCGCAAGGATAGGGAAGTACAATAAGGCGGATCCGGAAGACAATCATCGTAGATCAGCAAAGAACACAAAGGAGAGAGAAAAATGGTTTATATATGTAACTTAATAATGTAAGACCTGTTCCCCAGAATGGAAATG